CTCTCTCTCTCTCTCTCTCTCTCTCTCTCTCTCTCTCTCTCTCTCACACACACACACACACACACACACACACACACACACACACACGCACGCACACGCACCACAAGCACTAATAATGTTTAGATGTATGTGCACAAAATGCTTAGCATTGTGCCTCGTCAACTGCTGGTGACTACTGGTAACTACATCTCCTAGCAAGCCCAAATTGTGCGTGCCCGTGGCAGATGGGTGCTACCCGCTGCCACTTTGGTTGATTCAAGGATAAGCACTGACAGGTGGTGGCTCTGCGGGCCTCATTAGCCAGAAAAGGGCCTGGCTAGGGTTTGCGATAGGGTGGGGACGTGGAAATGATGAATTCTCCTTCCACCCCAGCTGGTGCTTTGCAGGCTAAGGGTGGCCAGAGGGGCCAACGGTAGCGATCGCTTAACTGCCACCAGTTCCACGCGGCTCAGCAGGAAGGATGGATGCTTAAAGATTTCTTCCTTGAGGTAAAGAGAAGGAGATTATTTTCCGGTGATGGGAAGACTCCCGGTGCTGTGCGGGGGAGGGGAAAAGACTCACACACCTCTTGGTCGGCCCTCACCCCCTTCTCAGCAGCATTCCAGCAAGTTCGCAGATCGTCCTTTCCCTCCCTCTCCCCTCACCCCTACCCATCCCCTTCCTTCTCCTCCATCTCCCTCCTCCTGCACATCTTGTTTCTCCACTTCTGTGAAATGAACGTTTTAAACTCTGAGACCCTGGCAAGACCCAGCACCTGTGAACATGATGACTGGACAGAGAACACCAGGATGTGCTTACACCACCTACTCCGCCCTGAGCACCCCGCCCTCATCCCCCATGGTGCATGAGTGCCCTGGTATGCTACAGCTGCATAAGGAAGCAGAACTAGGGGCTTAAGCCGCAGAAAGGCTCAAAGGCCCAGATCAAGGGGCCAGAGGTTTGTTCCCTTCTCAAGCTGGGGTCAAGCTCCATTCCACCTCCTTGGACATTCCTTGGCAAATAGAAATAAAACTCCTACCCCTGCTTCCATCCTCACATGGCGTATGCATAAGTGTGTCTGTGTTCAAATTGCTCCCTCTTCATAAGGACCCAGTGATACTGAAGTGCAGCCTACCCCGTCGGCTGCATCCTAACTTGATTCTCTGCAAAGACTCTGGTTCTTAATAAAGTCACATTCACAAGTCCTGGGGGTTGGGGCTTAACATTTTCTGAGGGCTACAATTCAACCAACAGCAGCTAGGAACTATTACACACATCACTTAGCTTAACGAAGATCAAGGATGATCTTTAAGTCTCCTGAAATGTCAGACAAAGCTCAGACCGGTGTAACAAAGATTTAGTGACCTGGATATTATTAGGATGATGCCGTTTCTACATGATGTTTTCCAATAAAAGTACTGGATCAAACACAATTACAAGAGATTTGAGCTTTGTGTTTCTCTGAAAATTCCAAATGAAATGAATTTGACACATCGGGGAAAGTAGCATCCTGATTCAGTTAAGGCTTATAGTGAAGTGTCCATCAACACCTACAGGCGGAGGGGAGTAGGATTCATTGCTTGCACATGTGAGCCGCTGTCTCAGGCTGCATCAGTAGTGATGGCTGCGCCCTGGGTACCAACAGCCTCGTTTTGTGAGTGAAGAGCCGATGTCTCAGAATAGCTGTAAAACATGCTTAACATAAGTTCAGGCAAGGAGAGGTGGGTCGAGGATCCCAACTAACATGTGTCTGATTCCCAGAACTATTAGGAAACCTGCTTAGTTTCTGTATTGGAAAATACAATCCCCATCCTTTTATGTTTCAAGTCAGCTGTTACAAATCACAATGAGTCATCGTGAACAAAATAAGACAAACTAAATGTCCTGGCTAGTTTTATGTCAACTTGACACAAGCTAAACTCACTTAAGAGAAAAAAACCTCCTCAGTTAAAAAGAAGCCTCTATAAGATTAGGAAAGCAAACCTGAGAAACACTCTCCTAATTAGCAATCGATAGGGAAGTGTCCAGTCCGTTATGGGGTGGCCTCACCCCTGGGTTGGTGGTCCTCAGTTCTATAAGAAATCTGGTTGAGCAAACCATGAGGACCAAGCCAGTAAGCAGCACCTCTCTATGGTCTCTGCATCAGCTCCTGCCTCTGGGGTCCTGTCCTGTTTGAGTTCCTGTCCTGACTGCCTTTGATGATGAATAGCAATGCTGAAGTGTAAGTCAAATAAACCCTTTCCTCCCCAAGTTGTTTTTGGTCATGGTGTTTTATCACAGCAATAGAAACTTTCAGGAAGACATCAGAATTTTAATAAAAAGAAAGAAAAAACCATGCCTCACAGCACTGAAGAGGAGCTTCTTTGATTCAGTAATATTCACTGTTATCAAATTCATTGTTTTTATCTCTGAGGGGGGCAGGTACCTGTAAGCTTCAAATGTTGTTAGGAAAAGCTAGTGTTCTAAATCACATTCTGAGTGTATTGAAGTGTGTGAGTTCTGCCCATTGAAGGCACATGAATATAAAAGTGGAAAACTTCAGGCCTTGTCTCCATCACAGCCGAAGACACTTTAAGAAGAGAAAGACACAATTGGGAGGTTGATAAGAAAGACTTTATGAAATGTGCCATTTGTTTAAAAACAACTCTTCTTGTTGCTCTTGTTTGGTTTCGAGACAGGGTTTCTCTGTGTAGCTCTGACTGCCTGGACCTCCCTCTGTAGACAGGCTGGTCTGGAATTCACAAGAGATCCACCTGCCTCTGCCTCCCGAGCGCTGAGATTAAAGGTGTGCGCCACCACCACACAACTAAAATGACTCTTATGATCAAAAAAAAAAAAAAAAAGGAAAAAAATGCAGATTCCTTATCAAAATATTTAATTGAAATCTTCTTGACATACAGGTTAAGTCACATTAAAGAGAGGACATGAGAATCTGTTTAAATCACTTTGCTGTAATAGGATTTTGTAGATAAGAGCCTAATTTAAAATAAATGGGCCACTGGCTAGATTTAGACATTTCCATCATACAAATTTTTGCTCTGAATCTATTTGCAGTAATGGGTTTTGGACCACTGTCAAATGGTCAGCTGTTTTAGACATTGTACCTCTCTTTGCGTAGGTCTAAAAACTGATTCTAGCAAATTCTAGAAGTTTCATTAATGGCAATAAAGGCAGGTGTTAGCATAGATATGAGGCTTGCTTAAGTATCAAGCCCTCAAGTAATTTCTGCTCAGGGGATTCAGTGCAGAAAGCTTGAGTATTCATTCAACAAATGTGCGCTCAACACTTAGGTAGCCAAGGCATGCTTCTCATGTTCTCAGACACATCTCTAGATACAGCAGACAGAAATAGGAAGCAAATAATACACAGGCTAAATACTCAGACCTGTGTGAATAAAAGGATCACGTAAATGAAAAAGTGACAAAGTGACTATGCCAGGAGAAAAGGAGAAAGGGAGAGCCGGGTAAAAGCCAGAGGCAACGTTCACAGGTGACGCGACCATTTTAAATCCCAGGGTCGTAGCAAAGCTCACATCAGAGCTTTGAAACCAGGTTCTGCTTAGATGAAACTGAGCAGAAACATGCAGGGTATACTGCGCGAACACTGTGCACACAGGCCCAGGTTCTCAGAAGGTATACAGCCAAGGCCCAGCTAAGAGGAGTTCTGGAAAAACAAACATATTCTCTATTTTCTCCTGTCCTCCAACTTAAGGTCATATTTTAAACCAAGAAGTGTACAGGGAAAGGAGATGAGAAACCACACATGTTTTTTGTTTTGCTGTTGCCAGGAATGAAGGCACTTAGCACGGAAGTAAATGGTGAAGGCACCTTGTACATCCGGGTAGCAAATTCTCAGAGATGGGCTTAGATGTTCTTTGCTCTCGCAAAGAGCTTGCCAGGAACGACCTAAGCGGGGAAGGATTCGTGTTGGCATGGGGTCTCAGAGGACTCTGACCATGGTTGTTTGGCTGCCTGTGTGGCAGAAACTGTTCATATCATGGTGGACAGGAAGCAGAGAGAATAGGCAGGAAGGGGCAAGGATAAGTTACCTGTAGGGGATTGTCCCAGCTAGACCCATCTCTTAAATTTTCTATAATCTCCAACTAGAACACTGCCAGCTAGCAACCAAGGTTTCAAAACATGAACCCATCAGGGGAGCATTTCATATTTAAGTCACAACAAGGTTGGTACCCTAAAGTCAGCTTGAGAAAAAAAAAAAAAAAGATGGAGTTTCAAAATTGAAAATTCCTCTAGAAGGTGTGAGTGAAGACCAGACAATCTGGTCTTTGAAGATTCATTCAGACAAGTTTACATTTGAAACAGATCTGGTGTTCTTCGGATGAGCAGGAGAAAAATTAGTTGACTTCATGTTAGGGGAGAACTTGGAGGTTTAAATACAACGAAATTCTCACAGAGAAACTGAGGTAGACTTAGGTCGGGACAGATTCCTGTCTCTTGCCCCACACCTTGGAAGGCGGTCACTGAGAGCGGTAGCAGCAAGCACTATTTTAACATCTGTCTCTTCCCCGAGCAAATGCTGCTGAGTTTTCAAATGATTTTAACAATTATTTGGTGAAAGGCTACTCTAGCGAGAAGCAGTAGATCACCTGTGTGCCTGGTCAGTGTGCCTGGTCAGTGTGCCTCCAACTTGCTGAGTCTGCCTCTATCGGTCAGTGATAATCTGACTTTTGGATAGCTGTGTCCTAATGCCAGACAAAGCTTTTGAGCTTCAAAGTGATGAACAATTGTCCTTTCTCTCTATTGAGCATGGCTAGATTCACTAAGCAAGAAGAAGTTGACCGGATGCTTTCCTTTAGGTCTATTTCCAATAAAAATTAAACTCAAGAAAAAAGCTGGTGCAAGATATCTCCTTTTTACACACTTATTTCAAGATCCCAAATTAAGAGACTAAAGAACCACAGGAAACAGCAAATGAGTGTAAGGCAAGTTCACGCTATCATGAAGAATGGTGACCCCTGGTTTAGTTATTAGCCAGGATTTTTCTGATTATGCATGCACAGCCTTTTCCTTGGGGATAAGAAATAAGAAGATTATGCTTTCTTTGTCTAAGCAACATATTACAAGCTTACCCAAGATTAGCCACATTATAACAATGAAGATTATGCATTCAAGAGTCCAGCTATTTGAGCTAAATATTTCACAGATTGAAGTAGACTCCTTAAAATGCCCAAATTAAAAAACCAAGTAAACATTAAGGAAATACAATTCTAAATGTGCCTTCCTCTCTTTCTTTGGAGGAATGTAAAGGATATAGCAAATAACAACTGAAGTTTACGTTGACCTGCTTGAAGTGCTGTTCCTAATGGGACTGGCAAACAAATTCAAAAGTATTTATGTCACCTCAAATTTTCATTATGACCACAATGAGAATAACTCCAGTCCCTTCAGGTAGACCTTGGGGAAATCCTCAGCTTAGAATCTGCAATAGAGTTTGTTCCAATGTTGAAGAGAGTCTTGAAATATATTGTTCCATCGTGGCTGGCAGCCATGTTTGTCTACAATTCTCCAGGCATTTTTTTTCATAAATAGAACGAAATGGTACTTAGTTTAAACTAGGTAATCCTGTCCAATAGCTTTAATAGCAAGGGTTAGTTACTTGAATAATTTAAAGACTATTTTCGTTAGCAATTAAAATTAAATTGCCCATTCTAGCCGTATATAAGTTCATTAAATTGTGTGTACTTTGGGTCTAGTTAATTTCGCTGGGTGATTTTTTTTAAATTCATTTGGAGAGTTTTTATATAATAAAATTTATAAAAATAAATGTTTTAAAAAATAAATATCGTAAAATAAAGAACAATCAGACCACAACCCATAGAACCATAGAGGCTATATATATAGCATGGAGGTCCCTAGGACGACTGTGGCATATAATAAATTTCAGTTTTACTCAAAAAAAAAAATAAATAAATAAATAAATAAATATCGAGGCATGAAATAGCCGTCCAAAAGCAATTCTGTCATAAAACCTGAGACCTGCGAAACTGCCTGTGACAAGGATGTGGACAGTGAGAGGACAGTGTGACTGCTGAGCAA